GGTGTGAGGAAGGACCACTCCACACCACGTAGGCCCCCAAACTCTGGGAGCCCATCAGAGGGTGTTGGGGGAAGCCCCTGCCCTAGCCTGGAGTGTCTACATGGTGTGCCCCGTCTCCTCTGTGTCCCCCGCCGTCCAGGGCACCAGGTTTCTGGCATAGAGGTGTCAGATCATGGCGTGAGAGTGGTGCACAGGAGGGACCAGCATCCAGGAAGTTGGCTTGGTCTCTGGTCCCGCTGGCCTTTGGGGTCACCCCATCTGGCAGCCCCCCACTCACGTTGAACTCCTCCCGGAAGTGCTTGCAGTCATCGGCGGCTCGCAGGCGGATTTCCTCCTCCAGCTGCTCCACGGGGATGGGGAAGTACTTCCTGGGCCCCGAGGGGGACGGGCTCAGCAGCATCACTCTCTGCTGCTCTGTGGACAGAGAGCGCGGGCCCACTAGCCACGCTGCTGGCCGGTGGGCGGGCAGCCAGGGACCAGGACATTCCAGAAGGAATGAGATGGCCGAGGGAGAGACGCTGGGCTCAAGCACGCAGCCACAGCAGTGAGTCAGAGCCTCACCCCAACCTGTGGGGCCTGCCCTGATGTGTCCATTCACAGGTACCCCTCCCCCTGCCCAAACCCCGGCCTCCTTACCTGTTCAGCCCCAAGCCGCCTCCCTCCATCCCGCCCCCACCCCACCCCCACCCACAGCTCCAGGCAGAGCCCAGAGTGCAGCTAGGGAAACAGAGAGGAGCTAAGGGCAGAGGGGCTGCTGCCACAAACACATGCTCTACTAGTAGCCGGAAGGCCCGCAGTTCAAATCCACCCAGAGGGGTCTTGGGAGACAGGCCTGGTGGCCGACTCCAGGAAGGTGTCGGCCGTGGAGCCCAGTTCTGCTCCACGCCCAGGTCTCCAGGAGTCGGAACTGACTTGACCGCAGCCCGCAGTGACCGCTGGGCCTTGGCTAACATGCTCAGGTGCCAACTGCAAGGTACAGGCTCACGTCCATCCAGGCGGAGCTGGGAAGCAAGGTCTGGCCATCTGCTTCCTAGTGACCGGCTGCGGAGGACCTGCGGCCAGGCCTGCTCTGACTCAGGTGTGGGACCGGGAGTGGCTAGGGGCCCCAGAGCCGTCCTGGTCTAATGAAAGGTTTCTGGGGGAGCTGCAGACAGACAAGCCCCCTCCCCTGGGAAGTGAAAGGTAACCACTCTTGTGGTTTGGGGTGGGGGCGCAGAAAGAGGGGCTGGGAGGGAGAAGTGACAGAAGCGGCAGGAGGGAGCCTTCTTCCTGGGAAGGTGTTGAGGTCCTGGACAGGGGCAACTCACCCACCCTGTGGCCTGCCCCCCACCGGCCTTCCAGGGCTGAGCTGAGGGTCTCCCCAGTCCTCACCCCTCCCAGAGTCAGCCCAGAACAGGAGGAGCGGGGTCGGGTCTTGCTATGCTCTACCATGGCTGCTGCCCTCTGGCACTGGGCGGGAGGGCAGTTAGGGAGGGGAGTGGGCAGGGCAGGAGTGGACAGTGGGGGCTCCAGGTCCCTAAACAAGTGTGTCTTCTGGCTCTACATGGCCACCCTACTCTCCATCTTGGGGTCACGTGGAAAAACCCCTCTACCCCGCTTGCCCTGCTGTGTGCAGTGGAGGCTGAGCGCAGGGGGCTGGGTTCCGGTGTGGACATGGTACTCCCAAGGGGACCTCGGAACCTGGAGGACACATTGGGAAGCCCCCCACCTCCACCCCCTTGGGCTCCAGCCAGCTCACTCCGATGGCCCCACGTGTGGGGCCCACAGGATTTTCAACCGCTGGTTTAGGAAACAGGTAGCCAGGCCTTTCCTGCAGGGCACCAGGGGTGGGTTCAAACCTCCCATCTCTTGGTTAGGTACTGAGCACTCAGCTCCACTCAGGGCCTCTCCACTGAATCACAGTGACCCTGCAGGATGGAGCAGGCCCACCCCACCGGGTATCTACGGCCACATCTCACTCAGCCATCAGCCGGCCAGTGGGTCTGGGACATCCCCTTGTTTAACCGCTCTGCCACCTGGGCCCCACCAGGGATACTAAAGGGTCACCCAGTCAGCAGGGCCATGCCCTCTGCCCATTGAACTGAAATGGGGGCACTTTGAGTCCAGCCCTTCACCCAGGGCGGGGCTGTCTCTCTCGGGGTGACAGCACAGGACACACAGAGAAAATGCAAGCTTGACAGCGTGCCCCACCCTCACTCCCCCATCGACAGGATGTGAGGCCCATGCTCCCTCCTGGGGAAGCCACAACAGAAAGGACCTCCTCGGGAGGGCGGGTCTGGCAGACAGACAGCCTGGAGGTGACCCCACGCCCAAGCGAGGACGAGGCTGGAGCGCCCAAGGGTTTCCGTCCCGCCTGCCGCCCTGCCCTCGGGAGGGACGCACCTTGCTCCTCCAGCAGCCCGTTGGGCATCTTCTTGTCGTTGACGCTGACCACCGCCTTCCGCTGCTTCCGGAACCTGGAGGCACGAGAGGGTTAGAGGTCACTGGGCACAGACTCAGGGCCCTGCCCGGCACCGCTACCCACCAGGTGAGCCGGGAGAAGCTCTTCCTGCTGCCCATGCTGCTGGCCCCCGCCAGCCACGGTCACCACTGAGCCAGTGAGAGCGCTGACTTCCTCTTTGCCGGCCTCGGCGGCGCGGCGCAGCGGGGCGGGGACACTCCTACCTGAAACAGTAGGCGGCCACTAGGAGGAGTCCCAGCAGGCAGAGAAGGGGCAGCAGCAGCCAGGCCAGCAGCGTCTGGGAGGCACCCGGGTCTGGAGGGCCTGGGAGCAGAGGGGCATTGGTGACTCACAGAGGGGTCTGGACAAGGGGGAGTCCCAACACCAGGCTGCCCTTCACAGTGTGCTAGCCCCACCCAGTCCTTCCTGACAGCAGGATCACCCCCTCCCCCTTTCTGTGAGCACCCCAGTCCTTGCGACACCTGAACCCCCCTCCACAGTGTGTGAGCCCACCTGTTCTTCTCACACCAAGACCCCCACTTACTTTCTTTTTTTCCCCCTGCCTAGTTTCTAAGCAGTCCCCAATCACCTCCCGTCAGTCCACCGTGCCCACCCAAACCCTGGCAGGCACACGGAGCAGCTCATGCTATGGCCATTGACATCAGACAGGACTTAGGCAAGAATGAGCTTCCAGACAAGTTCTGACCGCTGACCGTCCCCACCCCAGCCTCACAAGTGCCCCAGTCTCTGCCACTCTGCTTAATGAGGAATGGAGGCGGTGGACATGTGGGACACCCCCTTCCAGCTCCAGGCAACCTTGGACTGCCTGGTGTCCAGGGGGTGCATCTCCCCCAGAGTCTGCTGTATCCTCTAAAGACCATGGCTGGTGTGTCTCCCTGAGGGCTGGGGCTGGTCCTCTCTGGACCTAGATATCAACCAGCTCTGGCTCCTGCACCGCTCAGCCTGCCATTCTGGGGAAAAGTGGACAATAGTGACTTGAGGGACATCAGGTGACCAGGCACCCTGGGCTCGGGCTGTGGTGAGAGTGCCCATTCAGCTAGTGGTACACCTGAGGGTCTGCCTGAGCTTGCCATGAGCAGTGCCCTGTCCCCACCCTCTGGCTGGCTGTGGTGAGGGCTGGCACCAATGTCCTTGCAGCTGTCTCTGGCTGGGTGAGAGAGGCTGCTTCCAGGGGGGCCGATTTTGGGGAAAGCCAGGTCAGGCTGAGGGCCTAAGAGCACTGGCCCCTCAGGGGGTCAGTTATGGGCAGTTCCCCAGAGGTGGACATTGAAGGCCCATTCCTGTGTCCTGGCAGAGGGACCCCCATGGGAATGTCTAACAGAAATGATAGCCGGGGACCCAGGTAGCTGTCAGAGCCCCCAACACACTGCCATACACTGCTCATGCCCAGTGTATCTCTCACCTGAGCTCCACGCCAAGTGGCCCCCGGGGGTGCATGGGGGATGCTCTCACTCCATGCCTGGACCTTTTAGTTTTCAATCACAGGATTGATTGATACCATCACCTAAAACGCCCAGGGGCACTTACAGGGGACCTTGTCCCCCTGAACCCGATGTGAAATGCATCGCTCCCAGAGTCCACATCTCACACTCTGTACACCTGTCACCCTGTGTGCACTGCTCACCCCCGTGAACAGATCCCACCCCAGCTTTCACACAGCAGAGTGGCCAGGTGCTGTCTGTGCTGCAGCCTCTGATGATGGGGTGGGGTGGGCCTCTGGCACGTGATTCTTGGGGGATCGGCAATGTGGGGTGCCCCTCGAGGAGGCTGAGGCTCCATGCTGTGGGCATCACACTCACTCTGGCTTCCCTCACCCAACACAGCCGGCCTGGAGGACAGCCATGCTGAGGTCGTGGTCTCCAGGTAGGACAGCACTGTGGCTGGCCCTGGAATCTCCCGACAGGGCCCCTGCCTACTGCCAACACAGGCTTAGAGTCTGTGGTCCAGTGCACCTTCTCTGACTGAGTCCACTCCATGGACCACAGTCTGTGTCTGTGCCTCAGCAGGTCCCTGAGCATCAGGGTGCTACCAGCAGCCATTCAACCACCACTCAGGCCCAAGCTTGCGCAGTAGCCCTCTACGCAAAGGCCAAAGTGGGGGTTCCCATCTGAGAAGAGTAATTGGAAGCACTGCCTGGCTTGGGCATGCCCCCAATCACAGCAACAACAGGGTTCCTGGAGGCACAGTGGGTTAAGTATCAGGCTGCCCATGGACAGGGTGGAAAGGTCAGAGATTCAAACACACCAGCTGCTCTGAGGAAGAAAGAGATAACTGGCTGCTTCCATGAGGTTTATAACAGTTATTTCCCAATGTGGGTGATACTGCCACCTGGGGGACACTGCACAGATCCAACTCAAGTCAACCCAACCCAACCCAACCCAACTCAACCCAACCCGACCCGACCCGACCCCACTCAACCCGACCCAACCCAACCCATCCCAACTCAACCCAACCCAACTCAACCCAACCCAACCCATCCTAACTAAACCCAACTCAACTCAACTCAACCCAACCCAACCCACTTCCATTGAGCTGACTCGATGATGCATAGCAACCCCATAGGAGAGGGTAGATCTTGCCCCTGTGGATTTCTGAGACGAATTCTTTATAGAAATAGAAAGCCTTGTCCTTCTCCCAAGGAATGGCTGGTGATTTCAAACTGCTGACCTTGCAGGTAGCAGCCTAACGCATAACCACTGGGCCACCAGGTCTCCTTAGAATAAGCCAGCAAGGATGCAAAAACAGATACCTACACTTTACCCTGCATGATGGGCTAGAATACAAACGTTTTTAGTTGCCAGGGGGTGCTGAGTAATTGTTTCTCTGTAAAGGCACGGGAGGGCAAAGCTGTTTGGGAACCCACGGTTGATGGGGCAACTGCCCAACAGGGGCAGTTCTACCCTGTCCTGGGGGGTCACTCAACATCAAGGGGTTCTCTTGTTTGGTTTGCCAGCATCACCCACAGCCAACCGGAATTCGTTTAATCCTCAGCATTTCCCAGAAGTAGTTCCTGGTATAAGGAGCCCGGGGGCGCGGGGGCTGCTAGCTGCAAGGTTCCCTCCTCAGGAGAAAGAGGAGGCTGTCTACTCTTGTATGGATTGGCAGTCTCATCTGGTCACGGTCAGTGGGCGTGGGTTTGTGGAGGGACCTGGTGGCATATTGGTTATGCACTGGTCTGCAGACCGAAAAGCCAGCAGCTCGAAACCAGAAGCCGCTCCGAGGGAGAGAGAGTCACAGTCTCAGAAACCCAGAGGGGCAGTTCTTCCCTGTCCTATAGGGTGACAACAAGTGGGCATCGACTTGGTGGCAGTGGGTTTGTTTTCTTTTGGTTTTGTTAACTCCATTTCACAGACGGGACACTGAGGGCACGGTGATACCATAGGTGACTCTAGTGGTCATGCTCTGAGTGGGCATCGACTCGTGGCAGTGAGTTTGGTTTTCTGGCGGTGGAAACGCTGGAGCTTGAACTTGAGTCTTGCAGCTCATGACCCCACCCCCCTCCTGCTCCCTTGTTGTGATACTTTGGTTTATTGGGCCAACTAGGCCAATAGGAACATGTGGGCGGAGTTGAATCAGGTCTCAGCTTGCTTGGAGGATGAGCAAAATAAGTAACGACATCCCATCTTCCTCTTGCTTCCTGGGGATTGGACCAGTGTACTGCTGCTTTAGCTAGTTCTCTGCCTCAACCTGCGAACTACCCACCCTGTGGGCCAAGCCAACCTGTGCATCATGTCACTAGAGCTTGAGGCTTCTTTGAGACCTGCTTTGCCACGCTGCTGGTGCGTGCATTGCTTGAGCTTGAGTCAGGTGGATCCTGTCACCAAGCTCGAGTTAGATAGCCCATCTGGGCCTGCTTCGCTAAGCTCCCAAACTACTGACTGTGGCTGACCCACACTGCTATCTCCTTCCTTGACTCCGCTGTCTGCTTCCTTGACCTTGGACCCAGCAGGGTTCAACTTGAGTTGAAGGACTTCCAGTATATTAACTGTTGCACTAAAGTGAGTTGAACTGAGCCCTCTCTACCACTGTGTGGGCTAATTAGCTCTTACATTCCTTCTTGCTGTATAAACCTATGCTCTCATATAAATATAATCATAGCATCCTGGTTTTGTTCCTCTCGAGAACCCTGCTAACACAGTTATGGAAGCGCTTGGAAGCTGGAATAATCCGAATTTACCAATGAACTGATTAGGGAAACCCAAAGGTGGCTCCTAGTGTTTTGGGGAGTGGAACCAATGGATTCACTGTGGACATGTTCCATCTGCGCTGTCACTGGGGCGATGAAGTAACATATCTGTGGTAGTTACATAATTTTATGTCAACTTGAATATGCATACAAGGGTAGGGTTGGTATCCAAGCTGTCAATCAGGTCACAGCCTGATGGTGCCACCTTGTGGGTATTCCTTCTCATAAGGAGAGCAAAGGGACCCCCACCCCCACTTCACTTTCCTGTGAGCTGGCCACACAGAGAGCAGCAATGTTCTCACCGAGTTTGTCTCCACATGACTTTGCAATCATTGGACTGCGTAGTCCTGCATGCTGTACCATTGACCGTGACTGCTGGATCTATAAGTACTTCTTGATACAAAGCTCTTTCTTACACAAAGCTAAGAGTCACTGGGTTGGTTTCTCAGGTCAACCGGGACTAACACTGTTCCCTCTCAGCATCTCAATTTTACGAGGCCTTTCTCAACTTCATTGACCTGTCACAGACATGCCGTCTGATGCACCCATCTGGAGCATGCTGGCTAAATTCTCGGAGCTGTGCAATCACCTCAGAGCCCATGGTAGGGCACTGCCATCATCCCAGGAAGGGCCCTCGTGCCCACCTTCCTGTGACTACCCTTCCACCCCAGCCCCTGGCCACCACAACGCCACTCTGTCTCCATCTACTGCCTTTGCTGGACAGACGAGAGCCTGTAGGCCCGTCATCTGTGCGTCCATCACTGGATGTTGTCTTTTTTTAAAGTTTAAACTTAAAAAAAAATCAACTTCAAAATAGAAAAGATAGAATAAGGAATCCCTTTGCATCTCCCAAGGCTCCCGAGTGGCCCAGGGGCTGAGCACTCAGGTGCTGGTGGAAAGGTTGGGAGGGGGAGGCCCGCAGCCGCTCTGCAGGAGAGCGAGGTGGCAGGTGCTTCTGGAAGGACCGCAACCTTGGGAACCCTCTGGGACTCCACTCCACCCTGTGGGGCTGTCCTGGGGGTCTTATGACTCAGAACGGACTCGAAGGCAATGCGTCTGCCACCCACCTTTCTAATGCCCACCAGGCCCAAGGCGCCCTCTGGTCCTCGCCGCTGCCCTGCTCTCAGGCACAGCCAAAGCCTTTCATTTTCATGCCAGGGGGCTTCACAAAACTCATGGGAAAAACGCCAGGATTGGTTAACTCCATTCTCCTACAGACCTTTAGGAGCCCCGACCTGCTTTGCAGTGTATATTTAAAAGCTGAGGGTTTGTATTAAAGAACAAACATCAAACTGGTCCAGACACTCACCTGGAAGTAGCAACAATAATGCGTGGGTTCATGTCATCCACTCTCTTAGGAATCAACACACCAGGCCCACTGCCATCAAGGGGCTCCGCTCAGCACGACCCCCAGGACAGGACGGCGCTGCCCGGTGGGTTTCTGAGACTAGAGCCCTTCAGGAGAGCAGAGTCTCTTCCTTCTCCTCAGGAGCTGCTCCTGGTTGGGAGCTTCTGACTTTGTGTTCCGCAGCCCAATGGGAAAGGACCAGGTAGTCCCTCCCCAATCCCATACCTACTCACAGTGGCCATATAGGTTTTCTGAGGACACACATCTTTCTGAGAGTGGACTCTTCAAGAGAGCAGAGAGCCTCCTCTTTCTCCTGAGGAGCAACTGGGGGGTTCGAACTGAGGCCCTTGTGGTTAGCAGCCCAAGTCCTGGCCCCGACTCATGGCCCACTAAGCCATGAGGGCTCTTATCAACTGCCACGCCAGGGTCAAAATGTCCCCACGGACTCACTGGCGTTGGCTGGGGTGGCTTTGAGTTAGGTCCAGCTCAAGGAAGTGGTCAGTTTGAGTCTCTGGTCGCTTGTCACTCAGCTTGGGGGCTCGGATCTGCCACTCCCTGGCCACCAGGTCCCATGCTTATCTATATTCACCCCAAGCCCATGGCTGGATCCAGCCCCCACTGAATCCCTTCTACCCACAGACCAGAATGTGAACAGCCTTGCTGTCAGGCAGAGCACATTGGAAAGTGGAGTGTGGCCGATGGAGTCAGGTTAAAATTGAATGTCCTATCACTGGGTCTCCCTTTGGGCCCATTTTAAAGTTGGTCTAGTTTTTAATACTTTCTCGTTTTTTTCCCCATTGAGGTTTTTCTCTGTTTTACTTTGTTACTGTTGTTATTATCTAAATATGTTTTTCTGTATATGAAATCCAGGGTAGGTAAATTCATAGAGATAGTAACTGGATTCATGCATTTTGGGGGGCACGCCAGGGGCGGTGGGTGGGAACTGGGGAGTTAGTAGCAAGGAGGGCAAGAAAGAAGAAACCGTCTAAAATTGGTATGATGATTGTACAACTCATCTTGCCATGATTGGTCTACTGAATGGATAGTATGCGTGGATTATGTCCCCCTTAAAACTGTTTAAGACAAAGGAAAACAAACCCTGCTGCCGATGTGTGGATTCCGGCTCATAGCAACCCCGCCAACAGAGAAGACCCGTCCCGTAGTGTTTCTAAGCAGTAATCTCTATGGGAGCCCCCAGCCACCTCTTTCTCCCAACTGTCTCTACAGCAGGGATACTAAACACACACCCAGACCAGCCACCCCTTGCTTTCCCCTTCTTACTGAGCCTCGCCCCTCCCTGCACTGGCCCCTGGAACTTTCTAGGAGCTTGCAGTGAGGGGAGAGGTGGGCAAGGCCAGGTGGGTCCTTACCTGGGATGGCTGTACTGTTGCTGTCCGGTGTGATGGTCTGGTTCTCACTGAGCGCTCTGGCCAGCGGCCAGCTAAACCCCGCGAGCAGGATCGGACAGAGGGCCTCCATGGCGGACCTACAGAGAGGCAGGGACAGGCTCAGATGGTCACCAGAGTTGTGGGATGCCAGGAGGGGACACTGGGTCCTGAGGACCGACCAGGGAGAACCCGAGGGGGTGTCAGGGAGGATACTGGGGGTTCTGTGGGAAACAAACAGGGGGACAGGGATGGGGGCTGTGGTAGTGACATAATTTGTTGTCAATTTGAGACTTTAAGAGTGAAGGGGTGGAGTTTAGCCTGTCAATCAGGTTGCAGCTTGATGACCTCATTTGGAGGCACTAAGGAGATAAATAGCTCACTGGAGGTGGGACACAGGCTCACTCCCTGCGAGACATTGCAGCTGACAAGACACATGGAGCTACACTAGAGCCCTGGAGCTGAAGGAGCCAAGCGCTGCGATGCCTCTACCGCCACTGGATCCATAAGACTTCCCACCCCTTGGCCTGCGATCTTCCTGCATTTGGCATCATTACACATGCTGCATGAGTCTGAAGAGGAATTTATAGATTGGTATCGGACATATGGGCCAATATTGCACTTATGGACTTGATCTGGACTGGGCTGGGATGTTTTCTCAATAATCAATTGCTCTTGTATATAAAGCTCTTTCTTACACACATATGAGTGCTTATGAGTTTGTTCCTCTAGTCTACCCAGACGAACACAGGGTTTCTTTCTGTGATCTGTGGTCAGCCGAGGCAGGGGCAGAGTATTTGGAACCAGCACTGGCACAAGTTCTAACTACATTTGAAAGTAAGTTCAAGTTGCCTAAGTTAGTAATTCCACACACTGCCCTGCAGTTGCAAAGCTCCCTGTCTAGGGATATCCCCTTTATTTCTGTGACAGGTCCCCCACAAATGTCAGGGGTAGGGTGGGGTGGGGTAGAAGGGAAGCTTCAGGAACATCACGAGATCTGGATTCTCAAAGAGACGTCCCAGACCCTGCTAAGGGCTGCCACCTTTCAGCAACAGCCTGGTGATCTGGCCAGCATTAGATTGTTCTGACTCTCCTTGGAGGACGCTGTGGTTCACTGGTTGTCCTTGTTGTCCACCCTGGGGAGCTGGGTTCCATTCCCAGCCAATGCAGCTCCCAGGGCGGCCACTGCCTGGCTGTCAGAGGAGGGGTGTGTGCTGTGAGGATGCTGAAGAGGTTCCAGGGGAGCTTCCAGACGGAGACCCACCAGGGAAAGAACGGAAAACGGCCGCAGAGAATAGATCTGTCTTAGAAGAAGTGCAGCCAGAAGGCGTCTTAGAAGCGAGGATGGTGAGACCCATCACAAGGACTTTGGACCTGTTGTCAGGAGAGACCAGTCCCCAGAGAAGGACATCGTTCTTGGTAAAGCAGAGGGGCAGTGTGAGTGAGGAAGGTCTTAACAGGATGGGTTGGCACCGAGGCTGCAGTAATGGGGTCCAGCAGGGCGATAATTGCAAGGATGGCGCAGGACCAGGCAGTGTTTCGTCCTAGTGCAGGTGAGTTCATGCAAAAAGAGATGTTCGAGATGTTGAAACTGTACATTGAGAGGAACATGCTAGAAATAGATAAGGCTAAGGAATGGATGAGAGCAAGTGACTGAGCCATCTGTTCATGTTCTCCTTTAATAATCAATTAGCAATAATCACGTCTCTGATAAACCTCAATGGCTATGGTACGGCCACTGCACAGAGCCCTCCTTTGACATGGATGGATGGATGGATGGATGGATGGATGGATGGATGGATGGATGGTAACAAACAGGTCTTTTGTCTCATGGAGTGGCTGGTGGGTTTGAACTGCTGGCCTTTTGTGGAAACTGAGCGTCTCAGCCCGGCACCACCAATGCTCATTGTGGGAGGATTAGACACTGAGAGCACCCAGCAGAGCGGCAGCAACTAGCCTGGTGTGGCCAGCAGAGGGCACCGGGCCTGCAGAATCCAGACCCATCCCAGCATCATCCCCAAACCAAAACCAAAACCACACTGGCTGCCACCCTGTCACCAGTCAGACTCTCAGCGACCCAGTGGGACAGGGCAGTGCTTCCTCCTCGGGTTGGAAGACTGTGACTCTCTGTGGGATTAGAAAGCCTGGGCTTTCCCCCTCGGAGTGGCTGGTGGTTTCCAACACAGGCCTTGGAGTGAGCGGCCCAGCACATGACCACTGTGCCCCCTGGGCCCCTTCCTCAATATCGGGAGTCCATCTGCTGTCTCCCAGCATGGCCAGCCCCTGGCCATTACCCCTCATAGGGCTCACAGGGGCTGCCCGGTGAGCAGGGAGCCTGTTGGCGCCAACATAACCCTTGAAGTCATTGGCCGGTGGGACCTGTGGCCCTTTGCTGTTGAATTTCAACCTTTTGCATTTATCTGTTTGTTACAACCCATCCATCCATCCATCCATCCATCCATCCATCCATCCATCCATCCATCCATCAGGTGTGTCAAGCACATTGTACACATGTTGCCATCATCATTCTCAAAATGTTTTCTTTCTATTTGAACCCTTGGTATCAGCTCATTCCCCCCTCCCCCACCTTTCCTCTCTCATGAACCCTTGATAATTTATAAGTTATCATTATTTTTTCAGGTCTTACAATCTCTTGTATTTAGTCCATAGTTCTGCATGTGCTTATTAAATACTGGGAATGACAACACAGAGTTTCAGACCCCAGCCTGTCAGAAAGGCATCTCGCCAACATCCCAGCCTTGATCCCAGCCTTTTGACCCTGCGCCCTGGAGTCCAGCACCTGTTTCAGATTCTGCCTGTTTAATTATTCTGGGGTTGTTTCCGAGCCTCTGCTGGGCCAGTGCTCGGGCCAGGCAGCCTGCTGGCCTGTATGCAAAGGTGAGGGAGACCCTTGCCCTGGAGCTGGCCCTTCCCTGGTAGGCCAGCAGCCAGCCCTCAGACCATCTCTCCTGAGCTCAGAGGACATGGGGCTACAGGGCAGAGGAAGTGTGTGTGTGTGGGGGGTGCTGCGAGCCATCAGGGGGGCCAAACCAATCCTCCCCAGAAACCAAGTGCTAAGCCATGAGATGGAGAGGCCTGAGGGCACTCTGTCTTGGCCTTGTTCAAATTTGATGCATCTGTAAGTGGAGTGGTTATGCGTTGGGCTGTGATCCTCAAGGTTAGCAGTTCAAAACCACCAGCTGCTCTGCAGGAGCAAGACCGGGCTTTCTAGCCCCATAAAGAGCTACAGTCTGGGAAACCCACAGGGGCAGTTCTGCCCCCTCCTACGGGGTCGCTATGAGTCAGAACCGAGCCCATGGCTGCGGGTTTGGTGCTGGTTTTGGTAGCAGAGAGGAGGAGCCCTAATGGCACCTGAGTTAAAGGGCCCCCGCTGCTGACAGAAAGGCCGGCTGTTCAAATCCTCCAGCTCCTGCCTTGCAAACCCTTGCAGCTCTGGAAGCCTGATGGGGCAGTCCTCCTCCGTCTCGTGGGGCTATTATGAGTCATGGTTGTCTGACAGCAGCAGGGTGGGAGCAGTTCTGAGCACTTGAGATTCCACTAGCCTGAGCCCTGGTGGCCCAGTGGGGGAGGTGTCGGGCTGCTAACCTGAAGGCCAGCAATTCGAACCCACCATCTGCTCTTCGGGAGAAAGATGAGGCTTTCTATTCCCATGAAGATTCGCAGCTGGTGGTTTCCAACTGCCGATCTTCTGGATCAAAGCCCGACACGTAACCACTGTGCCCCAGGGCTCCTATGGGGGCATACTAGGGAAGTTACTCGGTTACCTCGGGATCAGAAAGCAGGAAGGATGCAGTCATTGGTCTACAGCCACACCTCTCCTCAGCCAGCAGCCACATGGCCTTCTGTGGCCCCCCTGTCGTCTCACTGTTCCACTGTCTCGTGGTCTTGGGCCAGATGAGGGGAAGGCATCCCCTGGTCTCCCGCTGCTCCTCTGGGTCTCGGGCCCCGTCGCTCGGGTCTCTGAGCTCGGCCCCCGCCACTTCAGATGGAGATGCAGCCCGGGCTCTTCCAACGGTCCAGGCGTTGCTCTGTGCCGGAGATGGCTCTGACACGGAGGAGCGGCTTTGATGGAGGAGTGACTTTTGCCTTTTCGGGAGTCATGCCCCCGGAATGAAAGCTGTCTTAGTCACATCCGCTAGTAAAGCCATCCTAAAGAAGCATCCCATCTTGATCCTGAAGCAGAGCGGTCCCTCTGTATCTAAAGATGCAGCCCACCCTAACCCTATAGGAGAAAACCCTGCAAAATGGGGTCGCAGCGCAGGCATAGCGTCCAGAATGACAAACGCCATCACATAAGGGATTGTGGTGGCTGCTGTTGCTCGGGCCATCAAGCTGGTTCCGACTCATAGCGAGTCCGCCTTGTGGAGAGGCTTCCTCGTTTTCACCGCCCCTCGACTGCACCGAGCACGCTGGTCTTCTCCAAGGACTGGTCTCTCCTGACAACGTGTCCAAAGTATGTGAGTGCATCCTCGCTTCTAAGGAGCACGCGGGCTGTGCTTCTGTGGAGACAGACCTGTTGATTCTCTGTGGCAGTCCGTGTTACTTCCAACACCCTTCGCAAGCACCGCAATCCGATGCTTGGATTCTTTGGCCTTCCTTGTTTGGTGCACAACGTTCCCAAGCATATGAGGCGAGTGAAAGTCCCATGGCCTGGGTCAGGCATGCCTCAGGCCGCCAAGTGTCAGCCTTACTCTTCAACACGGTAAAGAGGTCCTGTGCGGCGGCCCCACCCACGGCATGCTCCATCTGATTTCTTGACTGCTGCTCTGATTGACGGTGGATGCTCAGCAAGCAAGAGGAAACCTTGCTGGACAACTTCAATTCCTTCTTCGTTTATCATGATGCTACCATGTGGTCCGGTTATGAGGATTTTGATTTTCTTTATACTGAGTTGTAATCCATACTGAAGGTTGCAATCCTTGATCTTCATCAGAAACGGCACCAAGTCCTCCTCACTTTCAGCAAGCAAGGTTGTGTCGCAGTCTGCGCATCCCAGGCGGTTAAACAGCCCTTCCTCCAGGACTGATGCCACACGCTTCTTCATGTACGCCGGCTTCCCCATGACGCGCTCAGCATACCG